AGAGCTCCTCCAAGCCTCCTCTTTGTATGCTCTTCCTGAAGGTGCAAACTCTATGACAGGTTTCCATGTTTAATTCACACCAGCAAGTAATCTTTCCAGTCAAGGGGGCCGATTTAATGGCAAGAACAATTTATTTCCCTCTGGGCAGGTAGAAACAGTTGGACTCTAATTCTTAAGAGCCTTTGTTCAGGAACATCTGGGTTGAAACTACTGTAGTTAACAGATGATGTTGGCAGTAAAAAAAAAAGGGCTTTGTATAATGTCGTTGTCAAATTTGGTAGACCTCTACTTAATAATTACCAAGAAAGCAATCTAACTTGTTATTATAACATTTTTATTGCAGATTGCTGGTTTAAGACCTTTTGGTGACAAGTGGCATTTTTTTTTCCTCAAAAAGTCATTTCTATTCCCCTGTAATTATTTTTGCAACCAGCAACAACTTCCTGCGTTGGACATATTGGGGTATTTTATTTTGGAAGCCGAGAATTAAATTATTGCTAGCTTACGGCTGATTTTATCCCATTTTTCACGTTGTGAAGGCGTTCTTGCTTCCTTTTTTGCCCCTTACCTCACCTCATCCTGCTTCCTGATTCCACACCAGTTCTGTATACACTGAAACACTGTAGGCTGAGTAAAGGCAGAATTAGAATAAGGATTAGATGCTTAATACCTATTCTTCTTTACCAAAAAATGGTGTTGAATGTTGCAAGTCAATGTTTAACCGGAGAACATCAGTTCTGGGTACACTGAAAGTATATATATTCTTGGGAGTGTAGCGGGGGTACATAAGGGTATAAGAGGGTCTGTAGAAGGTCCCAAGGGCAAATGGTTGTGTTTTAGAATTAGACTTGTATCTTGGCATTGTGGATTGAAGGCAAAAATTAGATTCCCAGAGCATATCACTGCTTTTTTCCCTTCTGTATCCTTCCTTTCCCATCTGTCTGCTTCTAACAAATAAGACAAGCTAAGAAGCAGCTTGTTTCATGATGCTACTCACTTCCAAGCTTTCTCCACATAGACTTTCCTGGTTTGCCACTTTGTCTTTTCTCCATCACTTCAGCCACTCATGAGATTCTTCTCCCCTTTAACACATGCATTTATTTATCCAGCCTTTACTGAAGGCTTACTCTTTGAACTTTGCAAAATGCCAGTGAGGCAAAGCATACATCCTGTACAGGAAAAACTCAGTCTAGAGGGGAAAGATAATTAAACAAGTGATTACCGCGCTAGCTCCCCTGTTTACTCACATTGCTCTGCTCTTCCCCTCTGGACATCTCCAACAGAGGCTGCATCTCTGCAGCAGGGTGGAGTCTTTAAGCCCAGGACCCTGATATCGGCCAACTATCTGTGGCAGGATCTAACAAAAAAGTGTGACTTGAACACTCACAGAGGGAGCCCTACACTGTTTCCAGTGTAAATCATGGTTGATTATGCATGACTTGTATTTTGCCAATATTCAGAGGATACAGTAGGGATTAAAAACTTAAATACCTGTAGGAGTCAGGCAGTTACCAACAAAGAATGAAAAGTCAGGCGGTCTGAGACAATAGAGAGTGGTAGGGACTGTGGCACCTTGGAGAACAAACAACTTCTCCAGAGGGATAAGTTCTTCGTAGCTGCACTCCGTTTTAGCCATGTGGAATGTGGAGCCAATGTAGCCATATCTGATTTCTCAAGGAAAGCTGAAAAGCCAGTTTTTATTTGCATTCACTTGTTGACATCTATTTACAGTTTTTAAAAAACACTGTACTCACCAAACAGAATGTGTCTGCCTGTTGGGCTTATGACTGCCACTTCATTTCCTCTGTTCTGATGAGAAGCATCTGTGCAGCACACTGCCTCAAAGACTCAATTTCCACTTTCGGCTTTTTACATGAAAGTTATTTGACCTTGACCCAATTGCTTTCCCCTGTTTGGACCTCAGTTTGTCATCTGCATAGGAAGAGCAGGATCAGCCAGTCTTGAAGGGCTCCTCTGCAAATCCGTGTTGTGGTGTGGCTTGCCTATGTCTTCTCTGTTCACATCATTCTACCCATCTCCTTTCCTTTAGCCAAAGGGCAACAGCTTGTTTTGGGTCAAAGGACTTCTTAAAAAGGGGCTTCTATAAGGCTTGTAGAATTATCTTAGGTGTGGATTTGAATTTATGGAATTAAAACTGGAGGAGGACTTAGATCTGCAGGTCCATCCCCTATAAGGTTAAGGAATGAGTACAACACTACATAGATTTTATGAACTTTCCTGCAGTAGTAGCTAGGAAGACATAATTCACCATTACTATGAACTGTTTCTTCCCTTGTTACCAGTGGGATTAGGTTTATAAAAGCAATGAAGATCTTTGATCCCATGAACTACCAGAGTCCCAGATTGGACTGGGCATTGCTCATAGGATATCAGCAAATTAACCTTTGCATGATCCATACCAAGTTAAGATCAGCCTTCTCCCTGATGTTTTGGCATTTAGCTACTATTTACATGAGAGAGTGGTTACTTAATGTGGTAATTTGGTTCAATAAACATTGCATAAGCTATCTGATTGTTTTTTTAAACAATGTAAGCTCCAGAAGTAACAGTCCCATAAAGGGTGCATGTTAGCAGTGCTCTTTGGGACATAAATTAAGTAGGGCATTTTCCAGCTGTAGTTGGATATGTATGTTGGTGTTTCAGCAAGCTGCATAATCAGCACAAAGCTTAGGTCATTAGAGTCTGCTGGCAGGAATCAGAAAACCTGCAAATCACCAGGAGATCCCAGATATGCCTGGATAGAGGTGGTCCTTTGACATCTGACTGTCTGCTAAAGGCAGTGCTGGGGACCACAGCCTCACATGTAGGAATGAGCAATTTGGTCTCACTCCCTGGAGAGCATGAGGCCTTTGCCTCACTTTCCTTGAAAGCAACACCTCCCCATATCCAGCACATCTGATTATGTCACTTTTCTATTTTAAACCAACTGAAATCCCCCCATTCCACTTATAATAAGCTGCAGACTCCTTGCTCTGGAGAGCAAAGACCTTACCATCTTGCTCCCACCTCATTTTCTGACCTAATCACTGTCACGCTTGACTTTGCTCACTCAGCTGCAGTCTTTCTGGATTTATTGCTGATCTTCAAATACCCAGAGCTCTTCCCTGCCTCTGGGCCTTTGTGCCTGCTGTTTCTACTTCCTAGAAAGCTCTTTCCCCATATCTTTTCATCATGCTGTTGTGCTCCTAGCATCCTCAGAATGGTCCGACTGAACCACCACAGATTATATACCCCTTCTGAGTTACTCTTTAGCTTCTTAAGTTGCTTCATTTTCAGATAGAACTTGTCATCATCTAGAAATTTATTATTTACTCACTTGTATATTTGTTTAATATCTGTCTCTCCAATACAACATAGGCTCCACTGGAGGTCAAGATGTAGTGTCTCCTGCCAGGTATTAGCTAGAGGCCTTAGGCAAGTTACATGGACTTTCTGACCCTTGGTTTCATCACCTGTAAAATGGAGCTATTGATAGAAGGCTGAATAATAGGGGTAGTAACTTCCTCTTAGGGATATTGAGGGTGTTAAATTGAACCACCAGAAGGTCCTCTCCCCACTGCGACCCAGCACCTTATCCCACTTACAAGGCTGGAGCTAAATAAGCGTCAACTCATTATTCAATCTATCAGTTAATCACTGTTTTATTATTCAAAAATGGTAATGCTCACTGTAGAAACTTGTCATACATTATGTATATAATTAGTTTATGTGAGCTTTTATTTCTATAAGTATGTAAGTGTACAGTTTCATCTAATTGTATTGTGCTATTTACACGTTCATGTCTTTTATATATTTGTTCTATTTACATGTTCATGTCTTTATATAATATTATTTGTTCATTTTATATCTTGAAATATTCTTTGAAAAGCCATTTGGAATGCTAATACCATATTGCACTGTACTTTTTTGCCTTATTATTGGACATTTAGGTTTCTTTCAGTTTTTCTACTCAGTATAAATAATACTTACTCTGAACATCTTTAAGCACAAATATTTTATTGCACCTTTTGTTATTTTCTTAGAATTGAAAACCAGTAAGTGGAAATCGTTTGTTTAACTTCTCTGTATTGGAGGATCTATTCACTATGCACTATGGAGAATTTCAAACAAGTCCAGCTCTCTTAAGGAAGTTTCCCTGGTTGAGGAGACAAAGTTCAGACACATGAAACAATAGGGAGTGACCATAGCCAGTATAACATTGACTAAAAGCTCAGTGATTTGGTTGCAGACAAGGTGCTGGGAGAGTTTTGAGAATAGAAAATCACAGGGTAGCAGTTGCTGGAGAAGACCTACTAGTTGGAAGATTAGAGTTGATGTGCATGGGAGGATGGGTTGGGAAGAGAGAAGGCATTGGGAGTGGGGGACCCACAAGGGAAGGGATGGAAACAGGAACAAGTCAGCCTCAAAGCAGTCTGCCCTGCAGTTGAGAGCATCGGGCAGATGAGGTGAAACAGCTTGGATGGAGCCAGGAGTGACAATGCCATTGTCATGTGCTGGGCACTTACACAGAGGCGAAGTATTATTATCATCATTCCAAGCACACAGGGGTCTGCTCGGAACAACAATATGAGCCATTTGTACAAAAGACCGAAATGGAATCCAAATAGCAGGTCCAGCTGGTCCAAATCTTTCCCTCCCCCTGTAGTTAACATTTTACTACCCAACTGAGTAACTAATGAATCTGGCCCAGTGAAAATCCCCAGTCACAAATCCCTGCTTGGGCTCTGTGTCTAGACAGCCAGACCAGAGTGCAATTTGCACTTTGAGCATTCAGCACCTTATCACTTGCAAGAAATCGGGTTTAATGGGGAAGATGGGGAGGTGTTGCTTCCACCCCCTCCCTTTGGCACAGGGCTGGTGGAATGAGGATCCCCTCAGATAATGACTGCATTAGGAGACTGGAAGATTATAATAGTGTTTGTTATGTGTCTCTGGTCATTTAGAAGCACTGATTGGGAGGCTTCTCCATCTCATTGCAGGCTGTGTTTTGTGAAGCTCAAGCTCCTAATGATAGCCATTGAATACAAGTCTGCCAACCGAGAGAGCCGGTAAGTTTGCAGCGACCCAGCGGCTGGCTGACACTTTCGGTGGTGAGAGTGCATTCTGAGAACGGTCGGTTCACTTCTGCTTCTTTGTGCATTATTTATCTGCATGGAACCAGATGTAACACTTCTCTGACCCTAGAGCACATTTTGAGGGATGCCCCACCAGACACTGCAGCTTCTATGCCAGACCAGCCTGGCATCCAAAGTCCTGCTGGGCATTAAGAGAGTGTTTCTTCAGGGGAGAAGGATGAGTCCTTCAAATATCTCCACCTGATTATGCCGACCTGGACTTTTCACCTTCTAAGTGTTAAACTAGACCTTAAAACCCCTTTTCACTGCGGTGAGCAAAAAAACAGGTGGACTCTGGCCTCCTTTACAGCAGCCTTGAGATAGAGCTGTGAAGGGAGACACCAGCTTTCTTGATAGCCAAATTACAAGCTACCTATTGTGTACCATATGTGCTTCTCCCGGTGCAACCAAAATCCAGGTGGCAGAATATCAGCTTCATGTAAATGAGCCAGGAGAGTGGGGCTCAGAGGCAGGAGCTCTCTTTATTTATTTATTTTACACTTAATTATGTGCAAATCAGACTGATGAGAGACTGGGTCTGGTTGAAATAGATAACATCCCAGTCAATATATGAGTTTACGCTGGAGGAGGGAAGCATCGTGCTAACAAGAAATTTTGCTGATGGAGTACTGTATGCATTACAGATACAATAGAGATGATTTTTTTTGTTTCTTAATTCTTGTCAGTAGTTTTGGAAGAAACAGAGCTCATTGAGAAGTGCTCAAGCTTTTGTTCTCTGAAATGATACTGATAGTCTATTCTTCTGTAGTACATTTTTTTTTTTGAACCTGCAGATGCCCAAATGTAGAGGGCAGATCCCCTCCAACAAACACCTTAATAACTGAGCAGAGCACAGGGCAAGACTAGAAGTTTCCTGTTATCATCATTTAAGTTCTGCTTCTCTGGGTGAATGACCCAATGCAGCTAGGCTTTCAAATGTACAGCCTGTGTCTATGACAAGACAAAAGAAAAGAAAATACTGGATTGTCAGCAGATCAGTCCAGTGTTTTCTGTTACCTTAACTACCAGATCAGATTGCTCACAAAGTCAATCTGATCAAATGTTAAGCTAGTTTGAAAACCCAAATCAACCAAAAGGAAGAAAAAATGGTAGATTTGGTGGCTGTATGTAGAACATGGCTGTAGCAGTTAACAAATGTGTAGATAGATAAATATGTTCTTTTTCATGTTGACAAAGTGAAGAATATTGTTTGCAAAAACTGAGAGTCCTGGTTATTTGCTGTTCAGCAGATGAGGCAGAATTTTCTGGAATTACTGTTTGCCCATGTTTTTGCCAATACTCACTTGTACTGGCAAGTGAGGGGGAACTGTGTGTATCCTGGATTTTTGCAAATGATATTCTCCATGTTGCCAAGTCAGCAAATCTTTGTGTACCTCAGTGTTCTCTATTTACTTTTGCGTATCTTTCAAAAAAAATGTCATGATGTGGGTGATGCTGATGCTGAATAGTGTTTTTGACCATTCTGGAATAATCTGACTGCAGGACATTGCACCCTGAACCTTGAGCACTTGTCTCTAACTCGTTTCCTTTTGATCCCAAGGAGAGAGAAAGAGTAAAATGCTGTTAATGGTTCATTGTGAACCCAATGTCACCATTCTAAGAAAACAAACTCAGAGCTGAAGATGAAACTTTTCTTCGATAGATCTTTCAAATGAGTCACAATTCTGAGATGTTTTCAACAAAGCCATGTTTATAGATATCATTTTTAGTATTTTTCTTTTTCAGAACAGGGCAGAAAGGACTTGTTTGGCTTTGTTTGGGCTTTCTATGTGCAGTCGCCAGCTTTAATTCTCAAATGTGGCTTGGTCTCAGTGTGGAAAGCACATTGGTTCTTGTGGAAAAAGGTGTGTTTGAGGGAATGTGGATCATGCCTCTGAGAAAGCACAGGACTTAACAGACAATATCCACGTTAAAGATAAACCATTTTTTTATCTTCCCTGAGAATAATTTTCATTTTTTTCTTTATTTAAAAATGTCCCACTTCTCTTCCTCTCGTGTTTTCTAACTGACTGGGTGTGGAAATCCCAAGGACCTGCTTCTCCTCGCACCTTCTTTAACCTGTGTTTAGCAGCCTCCTTCGTTGTTGGTTTCACCCCATGAGACTGTTTTCGTGCTTTGCTGAAAAACCTTGTTTTCACATGCATCCTTCAAGTGATTTGAAACAAAGGTTTTATTCCTTCTTTCCTTCTGGTGTCAGTCAATTTATTATCAAATTGTTTGATTTTAAATTCTTTTCTTGTCGTTTTGCAGAAGCCGAAAGCGGTATGCTCTTCGTTAACTTTTCTTCCAACCTCCACCCTCTATCTTCACTCCTAACCACAGGACTAACCATTTGCCAAGAATTCAAGAAGAGAGAGATTATATATATGTATATATAATCTCATTCCCTTGTCCGGTGTATATATATCATATATATATGAGTGTGTATGTGTGTGTATATATATGTATATATGTATATACACACACACCCCTCTCCAACTAGAGTGCATAAATTGGAAGTAGCCTATTTCTGTTCTTGTTTGATTTGTTGGTTCTTTTGGATGACGCACTAACTTCTTTGCAGGAAACCTAAAAAAAGGAAAGGCACACTCCTGTTTTCAGTCATGGCACTAATAATGGGAACAAATACTACTAAAGCTGAAAAAGAGGACACTTCTCTCCTGCCCTTTGTGTCTCTTTCTGTATTGTCCTGATGTGTCTTGGTGTCCATTGGACTCTGGTGCCATTTTTGTCTACATACCACATCCACATTCCCAGTGACCTCCTCCTCCCTGTGTCGAGTTTCTGGTCTATAGAGCAGAGTTCGTGTCCTTTTATCCACAAACCAGAGACCAAGCCCTTTCACTTCGATTTTTGCCTTACATTTATTTTGGTGATAACAGTTTGCATATTTTGTTCCTCAGGCAGTGCTCCATATAGACTTTAGAACACTGCTATTAAATTGCCAGATTATCACACTTGATTTACTGAGTTAGTATTGTTTATTGAGACAAACTCATGGCTTTTTTTTTTAATCATAATGTGTTTTGGGGCATATTTCTTAATATGAAGTTTCTCAATTTTCGCCATGTGATTTCACCCTGTTTTGCTGCTGTTTTACATTGCATGAAGCATGACTAAATCATCATCAATGGCATTTAAAAAAAACTTTTGGGTTATTAGTCCTGGCATAGCTTTTCAATAATGTGTTCTCCAAGACAATATTGTTGAAAACATACTATTGAGATGCCTACTTGTTCATCTTTTCAAGAGTTACTTTTCTCTGTGATTGTAATCACTATCATGTGTTTGTGTTTGCAATTGTGTGTGTGTGGGTATTTGTGTATTTGTCTGGATCTCTGTCCAAAGTCCAATTCGTCTGTGATTGTTTGAGTACATGTGAACCAATGGAGGTGGCTTCCTGTCAGTTTGGTATTAATGATGTGATCCAGCTGCAAGAAGTTACTGCAACACTTTGCATCTTAAAGGTCCACAGTGTTTGCACCTCTGCTGTTGGCTTTCGGCCTTTGAGTCCTTTTATCTTGTGGTGAAGGCATGTTGTGATGTAGGCATGACTTGTCCTAAATATATCAGAAAATGATTTGGCTTGCTCCCAGAACCAAATCCAGTGTTATCCTTTTTAGATTACCTCTCTCTTCCCCATCCCATATGGCTGATATTTTCTGTATGTGCAAAATACATTTGAAAATGCCATTTTCAAAGTTACTGAGATGGATGCAGGCTAAGTAAGTCCTCACCAATATTGCTGGTGGACCACAGTGGCAGTTATTTGAGTCAGAGCAACTGGGAGCAATCTTTATCATGCTGTCTGTGTGTAAGTGAACTGGGCTTAAGTATCTTGACTTATGAAATACACAACTGTGTCTCCAACGGTATTCTAAAGTAAAAGTGTGTGTGTCTAGTTGGGTGGGACTCCAGCAGCCTATATATTAAAGCCTAGAAAAAATGAAAAGTTTCAGAAAAGTGATAAGATTTGAGATGTGGGGTTTCTCCGAGCTGTGCCTGTACATGGCCTACAAACTACAAATGCAGTCATACTCCCTGAGAGGGGACACAATTGGTTCAAACAAAGTTCCAACTCAGAATCATTGTATACAAACTTGTGTGATCAAAGAAGCCTCCTCTCAATGGCATGATTCATCTGGGCATAGCATGAACGGAAACCCTAAATGGTTCTTATTTGCTTGCTTTAGTTAATGAAGTCCCATTAGCTTACTAGGCACAAATGTAATTACCATGTTATTAAGTACAAACTGTGTTCTCATATGAGTCATGCTATTTTTTAAAAATTGCCTGAGGAATGGTACATTACACCTACCAAAAATGGAAGGGAGAGGAGAGAAATATGTATCCATCATATTTACCCATAATAGATAGAAGTTTCCTTAAAGAGTATCTGTTTCAGTTGAATTACCAATCATTGATTGTCTTCAGACACAGGAAACAAGTTTACACTGATGGAAGGCAAACCTAGATGTCTTCCCATTATGCACAAGTGGTGGAGAAAGGAATACATCACCTTCCTCCACCAAGCTGCAGTCTTCCAACCTGACCAGTGTTTAGTGAGAGATTGAGAGATACCCAATGAAATGTGATACAACTTGAGACATGGTACTCTTCTTATGGAGGAACCTGATAGAGACATTTCCCCGTGGGACTGAGCCCTGCTAGCCAATTCTATGTAGATGTGTTTTACGTTTAGGAACACATATTTCTCTTTGAAGTTTTGCTTTCAATGTTGAAATCAATTGCTCCAACTTCACAAGTGGCACGCTGTTTACATATTGGGATATTTACATATTCCTACTTAACGCATCTGAGAGATTGCTCGTTCATTGGCTGATCCCCTAGCCCTAGCAGAGGTGTGGTCACTCCTTTGATTGGCCTGACTGATGAGAATTGCAGCTTGTTCTTTGAAAGAAAACTGTGACTTTCTTTCCACTTATTTATGAAGAAAAGGAAAATTCTTGGAACTGAGGCTTAAAAACTTATCTTTTTAAAAAAATTTATTTATTCAACAAATAGTTGAAATGTGCCTGTTGCATGCAAGGCTCATAGCCTGGTACTCCAAGAAATTCAAAAGTAAACAATACCATCATGTTTTATACCCCTCTACTTAACCGTGGGTTCCTTACAGAAAATACGTTATTTCACCATGTTGGCCAGGCTGTACTTGAACTCCTTACCTCGTGGTTGAGGCAGGAGAATTGCTTCAACCCGGGAGGCGAAGGTTGCAGTGAGCTGAGATCGCGCCACCGCACTCCAGCCTGGGCAACAGAGCACGACTCCGTCTCGGGAAAAACAAAAACAAAATGAATTTGCTCCATATAGGAAGTGAGTAAACAAAGAATAAGTCGAGATGTAAAACTAATCTAAGAGCAAAAGAAACAGAGAGAGCAAGTATCCTTGAAGAAGGGACCACACCAGCCCTGTGCTTCCAGCTGTCACTGGATGTTTTCTGCTGAAACCAGTAAGGTCAAAGAAGAAACGATAATTTATATGTTCCTTGAAATGAAAGAAAGTCCACCTCTGCCAAGATGTCCTTGTTGGAATTCTGTCAATGGATATATGGGCTTTTTCTTTTGGAGATTTTCATGATTCTTCACATGACACATGTTGAAGTTTATCTCTGATAAGCTAATGAATTACATCAAGTTGGAGCCAGAGAACTGATTTAGAGTGGCGCACAGGGAGGGATAATTTTGGCAACCATTAGAACAAAACAAACTTAACACTGGATACTCTCCTAAAGAGATCAGAGATCCTTGGAAAAATATATGTATTCCTATTAGGAGAACAATAACACATTCTAAAGATAGTAGGCAAAAGGGGGAGAAAGTTATGGCTATCTAGAGTCCTTATATTTTTATATTTTGAAGAAGAGGGGGATAGCATTTTATTTAACCTTTCTATATTTGGAATGTGTATAGAAGAATTAATGTCTAAAATATCAAAAAATAAAAACAAAAACAACCAGTAATGTAGTTCCTAGTGCTTCAGCACCAAGAGCATCTTTTCCTATCGAGATTTCTTTCTTTCATTATTTCAAGGGCTGGGTCCATTCTTTAGATTCCCACCTAGAAGGCTGCCTTAGCCTTAGCTCAGTATCTGCAAATGGTGCTGCCTCACACCTCACATGGGGAAGATTTAAACCCCCTCACCACCCCTGTCCACATAGGAAACAAGAGGGCATCCTGGAATCCACATGGTCTGCAAGGTAACTAGAGATGCTTTTGGTTCCTTACACAATCAGCTATAGATTTAAGAAACAGATGATACTTCACTATGCAGACAGAAGTCAGTCTAAATTAGCCCATCACCAGATATTCACCCATTTTACAGATGAGAAGCGTAAGGCTTACCTGCATTTACAAAGCCAGGACCCAAAGAGCTGAGACCCGATTCACGTGCCTGAGCACTTAACCAACATCAGGAGCAAACCTGGGACACCAAAGTGCTTTACACCAGAGCCCCAAATCTTTCTTCTCTGCCTCACTAACTGGACTAAAGCAAACTCAAAATATGTAATAAATTATCTTAACCTGCTCTCTCTATAATGCCAATTCTAAATGTTCACTGTAGGCCTATTCTCCAATTCTTGTTCATTGTTGATAAAGAATAATGTAGCACATAATGTGAAAAAAGGAAACAGCATTCTATATGATGCTTTTTTTTTCATATATGTTACCAAGATGTTGATGTGGGTCAAATTTTTCCTTTTGAGTCCTGTTGTTCAAATCATGATAGGACTTTTTTCCATTCAGAAATTTTTCTTGCATTTTTACATGAATGCATGTCAAAATGTAGGCTTTTGTAGCTTTAAGGAACTAGCTCCCTTAGGCTCCAGAAGTGCGTGGAATTTTTTGTGTATGTCCGTATACATTATTCTGGAGTGTACAGTTCTTTATCCTATAACTTCATCTCATTAATGAGCAAGGTAGTTTGATAAGGAGCCTGTATTATATTCCATGGGGTCAGGTAGAGAAAATTTCTGATAACTTTGTTGAAAATGAAATACACTTTGGATTTTTTTTTTTGGTAAGAATTAAAGGAGCAATAACCCACATGCATTGAGTCTTCTATACATTGTCTCACTTAATTTTCTGAACAAAGACTATCGTTACCATTATCCACCTACTATAGGTAAGAAAATTGAGTTCTAGGGAGATTTAATAACGGCCCAAAGTCCAACAGCTATTAAGTGGTAGTGCAGGAATTTGGACCCAAATTCTGATTGCAGAGCCGGGACATGTAAAAACTGCCTTGCAGGAAAGGAGGTAAGAAGATGTGCAAAATTTAGAATACTGCCTTTCTAAAGCATCATATTGAATTGGCTTTGAAAAATAGATTCATCTAAACTGTATGTTCTCTGACACTTCACCCTCCTGATTGCATGAAGTCAGAGAGCTCGTTATACACATGTGAAGAGTTGGCGGAGGGGTGATTAGGAGGTGCCTATGGAGAGCTGCTGCTCAGCGCAGGTCGTGCTGTTAGTGTGGACTGCTGCTCTCTGATTTGGGAGGAATCGCATTGCTGCCTGTGGTTGTAGGGCAGAACAGTCAAATCTTCATAGCCTTTTGCTATTATTGAGTGTTAATAATAGCCGTGACACAAATACAGTTTCCTCCTGTCATGTCTTGTTATAGGTAATGGTAGATGTTCTTGTGACCACAGACAATTATTTTGCAATAATAGTCTGCTCAGTGGTCTCCCAACCAGGTGAACAAAGGTTCAACTGGGTCCTTCCTGTATGACTACAGACATGTCACTTTGTTGATCACAACACTTTTCTGGAATGGCTTACTGGTAGAAAAAAAGATTACACGATGGTAATTATCATCCTTTATATTTTGATTGTTTGGGGTAGCTGAGAACTTCCTTTAGACTGATTCCAAATATCTATTACATTATTAAGCAACATCGTTTCAGAACAAGGAATACCTCTGTTGTGTCTGTTGCTTCACTCAGAGCCCCTAAGTTCAGTATTCATTAAGCCTAAATTCTCTTCTCAGTCTCTGCATAAGACATTCTTGTTTTCTGCTTTTGATCTGCAGAAAAGTAAACTTGTTTGTTTCATCCATTTATTAGATTAGGATATGTTTGTCTCTTCTGTGAGTCCAAGCACAATGTGGTCAGTGAATCTATTTACACCACTTTGAAATAGGACAGTGTATATTTAGGTTCCGACTTCTCTGTAGGGCAAGTTTTCTTTAGGGGTGGTTTGCATTTGTTTTCTCAATTTGCCTCAATTAGGACATGCTAGACACACATCTTATTCAAACACCCTGTATGTTTTTGTATACAGCAGACTGGAATCATTAAGTATATCCAACTGCTGACTTTAAAAAAAAAAAACTGTTTGGGTAAATTCAGTTCTTCCTATAAAGGCTGTACATGGAATCAATTTCCATATCCTTATCAGTGTCATGAAGATGTTCAGTTTGCTTCCACATTGGTTATGGGTGTCTTGTACCATTCCCTGGGGTAATATGTGATGTGTGTACATGTATGTTTATGTATACATATAGGGGTCCCATTAATCCTCTGTCATCTAATGGAAAACTGGTATAGCAGTAGCTTCATCAGGCCAATAATGCTTCCATGTTGATCACTAGTAGCAGTTTTAAAAGGAATTTATCCTGATGGACTTTGCTTCCAATCATATGCCCATGATGTCAGCTAGACTGCCCCATTATATAAACCTGGCCCTAAAACCTTGATTTGCTTTGATTTCCTCAACTGGCAGCATGCCAACCTGGGAATTAAGCAGTAGTGCTTAATGATGGCATTATCCAACTAAATGTGTGGGGCAGTGGACATCGGGCTTTGGACAAAAACCTTTGGGGAAAGCACTAGACTAGTGGGCCCCCTATAAACACAACAGTATGGTGTAGCCTCAAGCTTTTTATTCAGAACATGACCTCACAAATGTGTCTTCTCTGTTTGTTTGTTTTTACTGAGCAGTATATTAATTAATCCTGGAAATCATCTTAAGATCCAAGAAGGTACTTTAGGATTTTTCATCGCAAGTGATGCCAAAGAAGTTAAAAGGTAAGAATTTATTTTCATCTGGCTTTCTTTCTGGCCCAACTGTAGACCCCTTGACCCACAGAAGTAGGCAGACTTCCATAACCGCGAAACTCCCTAACATGTCTATGGGCATCAATTGGTGTAATAAAAACTTCCATGGACTCCTGTTCATGTAGTCAATTCCATACCTTTGAATGACAATAATAAAATTTTAGAACTAGGGAGCCTAGTTACCTCCTCAATTATTTTATGGGGGAGAAAATGGGGGCTCAGAGAATTGAATGACTACTCAAGGTCATCCTGATTTCTGATGACCTAGAATAACATAACAAGACAGTTGGCTCCTTGTTGAGTGCTCTTTGTATTATATGAGAAATTATACTTGAGAATTATCAGTTTTCTACTCTCCCTGCCAAGTAGAATTTCAAAAGGTTTGGATAAATTTCAGATGGAATGTGAAACTGGCTCTATTTCTATTTGTGGCCTCCTGGGTAAGTGGCTGAAGTTGTCAGCTTCAATTGTCATGCCACTGTAGGTGCAGCACAGGATTTCATCGGCCAGCATGTGTCTTGACATTTTTATTTGTATCCTTAAACCTGTTTAAGCAGCCTAGAAATTCACAGGGCCCTTTGTAGCACAACATGGATTATTGTTGTATTTGGTTCTATCCTATGAACTTGAAGAAATTTTTTAGCAGAAAATGTGATGCAAATGGTCAGACACGTCATTCAGTTCAACGATAACATTCTATAAAATATTTTAAATACATTATTAATTGTGAAGTTTTATCATTATTTATATAAGCCTGTTGTCTTCATTGAATGAGTTCCTAGTCAAAGCCAGGACTGTGCTAAGTGTGCTACATTCTTTATTGCTGCTCCTTAAAGTAACCCTGGAAGGTAAGTCTTCTTAAACACTCAGAGCTTTGGTTTCCTCATCTGTCAATCAAAATAAGTGATTTGTCCAAGGCCATGAGGTACAGAAGTAAGTGGCAGAGCCCAGATTGAAACTGGTCTTTCCTTTTCTAAAATCCACTCTCTTTATGGTCAATTTAATAATACTAACACATTCTTACCTGGGAGGGTTTATTACATGCCAGCAGTATTCTAGGTACTAAGTTCTCTGTATCTAAAACTCATTATCTCACAGCAACCCCATGAGATAGGTAGCATTACTATTTCCCACTTTATATATGAGGAAACTGAGGTACAACTGGGCTAACTAACTTGCCCAAGGCCACATTGCCAGTGAATAATAAAGCCAGGAAGTTTGATTCCAGAGCTTGCACTCTTAATTATTTGCCTAGGGTGAACCTGACATGCTGAGCACAGAATGATGACATGTGACTACAGATACTTATGGTCCTCTTCCTCCCTACTCGCTCTAGCAAACTAAGCTATACTGGCCACAGAAGCTTTCAGGAAAAAGAAAATATGGGCTGATGGAAGGAAAAAGAATTCTTAAAACTGAGCTCTCCAATAACTTAAATTTACTTCTGCAATTTGGGGAAAGATGGCCATGATTCAGTTGTTGGAGAAAAATATCTCCCTACTCAGTTCATGGAATCTCCCTGTTCTCCAAGTGTATCCTGAGAACTGGGTATACCTGAGAAGGGAAATTAGGGTGAATGAGATTGAACCCTCTTTCCCTGCTCTGGTCAGGTCTCCTGGAGAAGAAGCCTGTGCCCTTGCCCAGATTGTGAGACACAAAAGCTTGAAACAGCATCTCAGCACCAAGTACAGGAGGCTGGGGAGCACAGGAGCACTGTATATCATGTATACCTCCCAGATAGCAAATATAACATGAAACTCCCATTTGTGTAATTCTATTTCCTATTGCATCTCTCACTAATGAATGTCACAAATACCAGGCCGTCCAAAAAACAAATTACCTCCTATATTAGGGAGTGCAATATGTCTCATTTCAATGCTTTATGGTATTCACAAATACATGCTGACACAATCAGCTACAACACCAGCCTGTAATTTTCCATGGTGTGTGATGTGTCAGAGCAAACGCTGTCAGTTAGGGGATTTCAAATAGATGAAGACTGCAGAAAACCACAGAAAGGACATTGGAGATTTGGATGAAACTACACAAATTTTGTACAAATGGAAAAGTGGATTATGATGATCTAGTCTTTAGTTTGTACCCTCCACTGCAAAAAAAAGCAACAAAAGAAGTTAATGATTTTTAGCTCATAGAAACCTTCAGATGCAGTGTTTTAGAAAATGATGAGTGAAACCATCCCACTGCAGTCTTAAGAAGGTCACTTGAGGATGGACGTTTGGGCACTTGCTCTTTCCTCCTTGCCACCAAATATTTTCCTTTTTAAATAACCTTGGAACATATCCTTTAATATAGGAGTCACAAAACAGTGGCTCAGTGACTCAATTTGGCTTGCACATATGATTCTTTTGAGTCACAAGTTTAAAAAATAAATGAGTTGCCAAGGTGAAAAAAAGTTATGAGCTTTTATATAAAAATCCTTATTATTGGTTTCTCTTGAAAAAATTGGCAGACCCAACGATACTGGGAAGCATTCTCAAACTCACTCATTAATTCACCCATCAAATGTCTGTAAGTCATTTACATTTAGAAGGCTCTATACAAGGCACCAGGGAAACAGTGGTGAAAAATGGGGAGAAGTCCCAACTCTCACAGGGCTCACATTCTAGACAGGAAATGATTACAGTATTTTTTAAATTAATGGTAAAAGAATTAATGCAACTGGGTCACTGATTTGGGTTATAAGTGAAAGCTTCTCAGAGGTGATGGCATTTGAGCAGAGATTGAGATGAAGGGAAAGAATCCATCAGGCAGGAATCAGGTGGGAAGAGGAGATGGGCTGGGAAGAAGTTAATTGTGGCTAGGAACCCCAAGAAGGAAAGTGTGGCTAGAGAATAGTTATGGGGAGATTGGTGTGAGATGAGGTTAGAGAGAGGCAGAGGCTGACTGACTCCTAAGGTACTTTATAAAGAGGTTGGATATGTTATAAAATGGAAGTCATAGATGGCTTTAAGCTGATTTGATGTATATTTTTTTTTGAAAAGGTCATTCTTCCTGCATTGTAGAGAATGAGAGGAATGGGGCAGGAGAGGAGGTGAGAGACTCACTGCCTACTGCATAGTTTAGGTGAGGGATGATGGCAGCTCAGACTGACAGCAGAATGGACAGCTCAGACTGACAGCTGACAAGGAAAATGGGGTAGATCCTGAGGAGCAGGAAAGACTCCTGAACAGCCACCTCAGCCTCCCAAAGTGCTGGGGTTACATGTGTCAGACACCACACCCAAACAAGAGAAGTGGGTCTCATTCAGACCATATTTTAGAGAGTGTGCGGGACTCACTCATAAATTGGATGGAAGTGAGGGAAAAAAGAAAGATGAAGGCTAGAGTCAAGGCTTAAATTGTGTTTATCTTAACCAAGATGAGGGATACTAGAGAAGTAGCAAGTTTTGGCTAGTAGGAAGTTAAGCATTCTCTCTGGGCTATATTAGGTAGGAGATGTGAATTAAATGTACACACAGGGATATCATAAGGGCAGTTGGACCTTAGAGTCTGGAGTTCTGGGGATAAGTGTGGACTGGAGATGAAAATTTAAATGTGGGTGCTGTTTCTTGTCCTGGCAAGAAACAGGTGACACACTTAAAAAAGGAGGAGAGTTTCATGAAGAGACCGTATAAAGTTGTGGGCAAATAGTTAAGGAAAACCAACAAGGGATGGCTAAGCACTCCAGAGCCGGCAAGAAAGGGGATCTGCAGGGTCAAGGGGAAGGAGGGCTATCAGGAGCTGGAAAGAGAGAGGCTGTTCCGTGCCACTCGATGGACCTGGTGAGGAGGGTCCCCAGGGAGTCAAGGTGGTGATGTCATCTCTCCCCACCCTCCAGTCTCCTGATGACTCCTCCCACTGGACATGCAGACCAAGAAACCAGAGGACAAGGAGATCACACAGGCCAGCCTTGAAGGACACAAAGCTGGTCTCCTGATTTTGCATGAGGCACAATCATCAGCTGAAGGCTGCTTATGGGAGAGGTACAGTGAGCTGGAGCAAGTGGAGAGGAGAGGAGAAAGAGCTGTTTTGGAGTGTGAGAAAAGAAGCACAGGAGAATGGGGTAGATCCTGAGAAGTAGGAAAGGCTCCCGGAATCCACCAGCTGTGGGTTTAAAGTGAGGTCAGCATGTTTTCTTCCCCAGCAAAACTCGGTAGCTCAGGTGCAGGTGTGCAGCAGGGAGTGGCTTTGTGAGGTGAGCATGATAGAGGCAGAAATGGGTGGGAAAGAGAATGGTGCTTGCAAAGAAATGTCACTTGGCAAAGGTCAGCTAGAGCTGAGACACTCTGCCCACTGTGGCTCACCTCGGACACCCCCCGGCCCTGGCCTCATTTTACTCATTAACCTTACTTACCTGGCCCTGGAGGACGTTATGCTTAGTGAAATAAGCCTGGCATGGAAAGGCAAACATCACATAGTCTTACTTACATGTGGAACCTACAGAAATTAAACTTATAGAAGCAGAAAATGGAATGGTGTTTGCCAGGAGCTGGGAGTCAGAGGGATTGGGGAAATGTCCACCAAAAACATGAAATTTCAGTTAGACAGTTGGAATAAGTTCAAGAAATCTATTGTTCAGTGTGGTGACTGTAGTTAAAAATGAATTGTATACCTGAAAATTGCAAAGACAGGTTTTTTTTGGTTTTGTTTTGTTTTGTTTGTTTTTGAGACAGTATCTCACTCTATCGCCCAGGCTCCCAGGCTGTAGTGCAATGGCACAATCTCAGCTCACTGCAAACTCTGCCTCCTGGGTTCAACTGATTCTCCTGCCTCAGCCTCCTGAGTAGCTGGGATTACAGATGCATGCCACCATGCCCTACTAGTTTTTGTATTTTTAGTAGAGACGGGGTTTCACCATCTTGGCCAGGCTGGTCTTGAACTCTTGACCTCATGATCCATCCACCTCGGCTTCCCAAAGTGCTGGGATTACATGTATCAGACACCACACTCAACCAAGACAGTAGATTTTAAGTGCTGGTACCACAAAAGGTGAAAAGTATGTGAAATAATGTATATATCAAGTAATGTTAATTAGCTTGATTCAGCTATTCCACATTGTATACAAATTTCAATATGTTGAATACTGCATATATATACAATTATTGTTTGTCAATTAAAAACTAACAATTATTAAAAAGAATCCAACCTTAGTTCATGAAGTAAGCACACTTTATCTTTTCACAAGTCTATTCAGGCTCATCATCATTTCATCATCTCTTTAGTATAGACCTTTGGCTCTGATGCCAGGCATGTGAATTCAGTCTCGGCTTCGGTACTCTCAGTGGTTTGGCCTTGGGCAGGTCACTTAACTTCTCTGTGCTTTAGTTTCCTTACCTGTAAAACAGAAATAATAATGATACTTCCTTCAAAGGGTTGTTTGAGGATCAAATACATTTAATGCTTATACAATACTTAGAACTGCACCTGACTTGTAGTCTGTGCTGTGTAAATGTTAGCTATGTGATTGTTACCATCATTATCATTATGTGTTAAGAGCACCAAAGAGGGAGAGAAAATGGCCAAAGGAAGTGGAGGCAGGTTACTTTCCCCAACTTGGATGCTTTCTCCTTTCCCGTTCTTCCTGTGTCAAGGTAGATTGATTGGGTTCTTAGCCACATTGCCTCTCAAGGTCAACAGTCAGGTAGGATTTATTTTTCTCTTTATTTTTTTGTGACATAGATGACAGCTGGCATTTAAAGAAATAGTGGAGAGGTTGCTAGGATAGAGCAAGCATTAGACTTGGATTCAGAAGTCCTGGGTCTGGCTGAGCCCTAGCATGGAATGACTGGGCAGTCCATGACAACCTCCTTAGTTCACAGATGAGGACACTGAGTCCCAGAGATTTTGGCTTCAAGATCTTCAAGACCTCATGTGGGTCCAAAAGTCTTAAAATTGGTTTCCAGTGGGTGCCAATTATAAATCCAAGTCTTGTGAAAACATAAAAAGGAACCTAGGAATCAAATGGTCAAGAATTGTGTTTATTTCTGCAGCCCTGGTCAAGAAAAGGCCATGTTTATAGCTGGCATTCAAACCCCTGTTTGGAGTGGTAAAGGCACCAAGCCAGGGATTTTGTTAGTTCTTGGATCCAGAAGGCTGTACGGTTGTTCCAGTGAATTTTATCACCTCCCCAGTACTGAAAGGGCACAGGCCTCTGGTGCTGTTTTAGGCACTGTGATTTCAAATAGTGCTTGAATGGTCTTTTTTCTTATCCAGAATATCTTTGCCACAGCCAACGCCCTGTGGAATCACCTATAGACATTTAAGTCGGATTAGGGGATTTTCTTTTTGATTGCTTCATCTCATTCTCTTCCTACCCACCTGTTCCTTCAATAACCTCTACTCAACCCCTTCCAGTGGTCAGCTGAGCTTTGCCCCACGGTGAGAAGAAAATCCTCATTTAGTGCATGCTCAGGGCTGGATAGCATGGGAATTGGTCCAGCCAGCTTTGGAGTAAAATAAGTTATGAACCTACAGAGGAGGTTTGACAGAGGAACCCACTGACTCATGTCTTTCATTTTTCCCTCCCTGCCCTCCTCAACTCTCCCTCACTTCAGCTGACAAGAAAAGGTGCTTTCAGAGTGACAAGGTTGATATTTTTATTTGACTGAGAAAACAACACACTTCTGCCCCCTCTAATATATATCTGACCAGACTGTGGGACTTTTGGTGTTGCATCTAACTTCCCCACCAAGGGCCCAGGGCTCATTCCCCATGTGTTCCCACGAGTAGCATCAAAGGCTGTTTTCAAAAATGAGAGACGAGTGAGCAGACGCAGTGTGTCACATCAGCAACTTTTTTCCCAGTTTCTTTGCAAATGGAAGTTTATGAAAAGGAGCACTAACTCAAATCACAGCATCCTATGTTTGAAATAAATGGTCTTGCAACAAACATTTCCGTCTACAAATGTCTAAACCTTTCAAAAGATGAAAGGAAATTAATTCTGGCGTGTTTCATTAATTTGGCACCACCATGGAGGAAATGTGGGACTCATTTCATTTGGGTGGATTATGAAACGTGTCAGTTTTTCCATTCTCTTTCTCCAGGGCATTTTTTTACTGCAAGGCCTGTCATGATGACATCACAGATCCCAAAAGAATAAAAAAATGTGGCTGCAAACGGCGTAAGTAATGCTTCTCTCCCCGTCCCCTCCCTCTCATTCCTATTCCCCAAATTCCTTTTCCTTCCCTTTCCTTATTAGAGAAACACTAAACATCAAGAGTTTTCTTGAATATGTTTATGTTTCACCCAGAAGTTTAAAGAAATAGGAAATAAATACCTGTCCTCACTTTGTTAGAGCAGGGGATGAAAAATCACCACCGTCAACACCTGGGAATGAACCCCGAGCCTAGTCCCTGCTTCTTCACCCTACAGGTGACTCACTAGGTGCGTCTAGTCTAACAGAGACAAGTACGATGAATAATAAGGAGGAGAATTAAGCCATAGAGAACAAAGTGTTTTTGTATAGTGATTTCCAGTGGATTGGGGACCCCCGACTACATAGGGTTGAGAGAGAAACTCAATCTGAGGACTTGATCTCCAAAGTGGGAGTTGGCTGTTTCCATTTGGAATTCCTGCCAGTTTTAATACCACAGGCTAAAGTTTGCAACTGTGATACCTTCAGACTGCCCCCAAGAAATGAACTTTCCATTGTCAAAGGGCTTACATTGCCATCATCCCAAAGGTCGACCTCAATCACCATTGCTCTTTGGGGTAGACTGGACCCAGCTCAGTTGTTTCTGGTATATCCTGTATCAAGTCCCTTCTAAAGCAGTTTTCTGCTGGGGCCTCTTGAGAAAAATAGGGTAAGTCCAGAATGTGGAATTGTGGGCTCCTGAGATACCAGGACTTAAGTGGCCTTTGCTTTGAGAAGGTTGTGCCTTTTGCAGTAATTATGCTGTATCGTCTAATAGAAATCGTTCTCAACCCTTGAAAAACAACAAAAAATAGTGGTGCCATCCTTCCTATGGTGAGTTAGTGTTTTAAAAGCTACTTGTGATCATTGCTTTGATTCTCACCCAAACCCCATGTAATTGGCAGGAGGTGTTATTAATCCCATTTTACAAAAAGAAGCAACTAAGCTTCCAAGTTTGAGAGGATGAGATTGCAGACAGTCACACAGCCAACATACAGGGATTTGGGCATACCCGAAGGCTTCTCTTGATTCTCCGGGTGCTTTCACAATTTTTTCAGGAGGGAGAGGAAAGATGGGCAGTCTTAGGTCTGATGAGTAAGAACAATTATGAAAGATCACTCCATAAAATACTTTTTCATAAGCAGAAGTCAGACAGAAGAGGCGTGCCACTGAAGGAAGGACCATTTTCACTGTATTCCTAGAGGGGGGTTCAGAAAATGTAGAACCAGTCATCTATAAATATCCCTCAGCTGGAGCATAAGGAAGTTCCTCAGTGCATGGAGAAAATTCCACTGGGGTGCACTGTTGGTCTAGAGAAATTTCTGCAGAAATTCCCTCAGGATGGGGCAGCTTAGGCCCATGGGTTTTCTCCCCTACTTTCCACTGACTTAACACACCTGGTCCCCTTTCCCCAGACTCTTACCAAGATGAGTGTTTATTGATGTCTCAAAACAAGAGCCTCTAATTTCTTGGTACCTAAGAATTCCCTGATTCTGACAACCTACCAAGGAAAGCATCTAAGAGAGAACAAGGCATAGAACAAACCTCACTCCCCATTCAACCCCCATAGAATCCATGAATCAGAAGACTTTCTTCACCAGGCAGTCCATCCCAGCCATGCTCAGTTGGTTGCAGACAGAGTGACACAGCAGAGTTGACCAGACATCTCCTAGATCATTTCAATTAGAAGGTACACAACAGTCTGAGGGTTGAGGTAAAGATACTCAAGTAGTGAGGGGTTGGGAAAGGGAGGAAAGTGAGGCTAATAACCCATGACAGAATATTTGCCAGACCGTCATTCCACAGAATATCAAGGAGATAGCAAGACTGTGATTCACATATTGGTTGACTGTTCACATATTTTTGAGTATCTTCTTGGTTTGAGGTGCTATTTTTGGTTCCAGGAATGGAGTGGTGAACAAGGTAAATTCCCTGCCCTCCTGAAACCTTCACTCCAGTGAATGGAGACAAACCATGATCATGTAAATAAATTCAGAGACAGCCAGTGCTAAGAAGAGAGAAGAGACTGCTTGAGGGTTGAGGAATACTGCAGTGGTGCTCCTTTATAGCTTGGAAGGTCAGGAAGCTCTCAGTCAGGGGTGATTTCAGGAAGGCCAAGACACAATCCAGGTAGGGAGAAGAGCAAAGGCCCAGATCAGGAGTCAGGAATGAGTTTGTAGTGTTTGAAGGATGGAAGAAAGGCCAGTGGCATTGGGAAGATAATAGTATGAGATGAGATTAGAGAGGGAAGGTGGTGCCACGGTAAGAAGTGTGGGTTTTAGTCCTATATTAGGAAGCCTTTGGAAGATTTTAAGTGGGGAAATATCATCATTAGTTCTTAGTTTAAAAGATGTCGGTGGTGTTTGGATGGAGAGCATTCTCGGGAGGAAAGAATAGAAGTGGAAGGATGAAGTGAGACCTTCTCTGACTCTTGCTCTGACATTGGAATGTCCCTCATAGGACACCATAGTGGAACACAGCAGACTAAATTATCCCTAGAAACAAGAAATAAGGATTTGGCCTCTAGGCTATTTTTCCACCTTGGTTCCAGACAAGTAAACAGCGGCCGACCTTAGCTTCATCCTGGAGAGAGAGGCACATAATTGTTTAAAATAATTTTATTCTCTTCATTTCCCTTAAAGTTGGTGAAGCTAGTACTGTATGTAATCTCCCATGTGCACTGCACCAATTGCTGCAAAAGGCTTGCCTCTACAAAGCCACGCCAGTGTGACAGGGGCCTCGCTTCCTTCTCTGTACATCCTCTTTCCTCCTCCCCCAACCTCGGCTTCTTCATCTCACAAAGGCCCTCGGCTATGTGACAATCAGAATTGCCCAAATATTGTTCTTCTTAATTAAAAGGCCATAGAACAGAGGGCAGGATGCGGATGTGTGCGCGGGGTGAGGGGGTGATTAGAATAAAATGAATGATTGAAAATAAACCTCCCCATGTAAGTCAGGCAAGTGAGGAAATTGGAGAAGATACATTTTGGTTGCAAAGAAACTTTAATTAGAAGAAACTAGGATTATTAATAACACACTGGGGGGACTCCCATGCCTTCAAACAGGCATTACTTATTTGCCTAAGTTGGAGAAGACAGCTGACCCACATACTCATCTGTCCAAACCTGTTAGTCGAAGGAATTAATAATTCACCCTGGAATGATAGATTCCGTGAGGGCAGAGCTCATGAGGATCACTGGCCCTTCCCCACAGCTTCCTAACCCTTCTTCCCCAACCCAGTCTTCCCTTCACTTCCACCTCAACCTTCCCATTTCACTTTCATTCAGTAACCGTCAACATTTCACATCATCTCATCCGGAGAAATATCAGGTGCGGACATTCCATTTCTGGAAATCCTGTGATTGTATAGCTTAACGTTTGCATTTCTTTCCATTTCTTCATAGCTCTCTATCAAGGAAAAGAGTCAAATTCAGCTGTTTGGCCAAGGAGCAAGTTCTCAGGGTCTACTATTTACCCATTTTCTTTTTCTGTATAATAAACCTTGTCTAATGATTTACATTTCTTCCCCCAGCCTCTAAAAGTTTGCCAAAGTGTGGACTCCTAGGGGACAAGTCATGTCTACTTTGATGTGTTAGAAGGAATTTTCTTTGACTTCAAATCATTGACATATCTTTGATTTATTTTTTTTCTCTTTGCTGCCTTGGAATACGGCCCCTACTCTATTTTAACTGCACACTGGTAGTGATATATTGTGAGTAAAACGGGTTCCCAGCAGCCCGGAGTCCAGTTCCCCCTGTCTTTCTCTAGAAGAGATACTCTTCTAATTTTCTGTATAGTTTTAGTTTCCTTTTTACTTTTGGTATTTATGTTGCATGTAGCAGTGACATCATGCCACAACTCCTTCATCTCCTAATGCTGTCTACAGAGTACCCTGGAGCCGGAGAGTCCACAGGGAGCCTGCTCTCCATCCATCCACCCCAGTTCCCAGGCTCTGGTCAGCTTCGGGCACTGTCTTATTTTTCCATTTGAAAATAAGACCTTGACAACAGTGTGTTTCTCTTGAAGGCCTTGTCTCAGGACTTTTAAGGGACACTGATTAGACTGAAGTAATTACCACTGTAGCTCTAGATGCTTCATCAGCTGGGGTAATTGTCATGCTTGCCTTTGATAAATTAGACTTGGTCTCCTTTGCTATTAAGCTTGAATTCCTTTCCTAAAGGAAACACATTTGCCGCATATATATTCCCATGTGTCATACGTATATGTATACACAATACGTACCATGATGTAAAAATGCATATTTTTACATATAAGAGTAGAGAGATTCCATAGAGTGATGTATTTATTGCAGTATATGCCTCTCTGGATGAGAACTGCTTGCTAGATAATTAATTGATTACTCAGCTTTGGGACTCTAAGTATCTCAATTGTCTTACTGGAGACAAGTATTTGCACAGTGGTAATTATTTCCTGCAGTCTATGAAGTTCTCTTGCTTTACAATAAAGTTTTTCTTTTAGTCAGTACTCAGTAGGATACACCCAGTTCCTTTATGAGTGTTAGTCAGACATCTTGGAAGATACATTTACCTGTTTAAGGCAGAAAAGCTGACTGAGGTGAACATTCCATTTCAGCAATGAGCTATGTCTAAGTCTGAACAAGTCAATGTAAGTGTCTGAGCCTCTGACTTACTCAAGGAATAGGATGCCCTCTCACTCAACAAAATGTGGCCATTGAGGAGGAGCTTTTAAGGCCAGTATTGAGCTTTGGGTCTTCAGTCATGTTTTTAAGACTCTACTGAAAAGAAGACCCAGTCTGTGGCACAGTTCAGTCCAATGACTCTGGAATTTGGAGAAGATGTTTCAAATTCAGTCCTCTCATTCCTTTGCAGAAAAAGAGGCAAGTTGATCGTCTGATTTGGGTTAATCATCAGTGTTTGCATGGTATAGATTGCTCACTTTAAAAGCAAAACACAGTGATGATCTTCTTCAATTCAATGCGCAGTCTTGCCAAAATTGACTCTGTGGCT